ATTAATATATTTTTTAGTACATAATCGGTTATCCGAAACACCGCTCTTCCGAACAACCCCAGTACCCAATTGATTCGGATAATCGATGCTCTACTGTTTTATTATTATAAAATAGTAAAACGCGCAATTTTGAGGGTAGAGATCAGTCAATGCCTAGCTGAGGCCTTGAACATTTTAAAACTGCTAGTGATTTGATGACATAATTTCATAAATAACAGTTTTATAAATCAGTGAGGTGTGTAAGAGTAAATTTATTTTAATAGTAGATACACTGAAATAAAATTGCGGCATTTTGTGGCGGAAAAAAATTCATACATTTGTTGCTCTGACGAGGCACAATTTTAAGGGTGCACTTTTCTGATAACACTGCATAAATGGATGTAGAGATAAGATTATTCAGTAACTTTGTTTGAATATGATTACATGAAGATAATGAAATAATAAAATTGACAACAATTAATTGTATTTGATATACAGTAGACCCCTCTATAACACGGGCTCATATAATACGGATTCGTATGACACGGCAAAAAAATTGCGATCGCATTCGTATAAACACGCTAAAATAGTCTCGTATAATACGATAAAACGTCATCGCCTACTCGTGTCGCGACAGGATTTGTCGAATCTAGACCAATAGCGGACATTGCACAAACCGTTGAGTTTAAACGAGCAGCGGACCTACTAAAAACCATTTATTATTTAACGGCCATAAAAATTATATTTATATTAATGATGTCTCCAAAGTTCAGTGAATTTTTCGCAGAAAAATAACTTATCAGAAAACACGTGCCCGCCGTTTGATGCGCCGCTTCGCGACGAAAACAATCTGAAGCAATGGCATTGTCGAACGGTGCACACTCGGTAAGTAATCCTACAATTTTTTTGTTTATAGCATAGTTCATATGGATTATTCCCAAAAAAAATTATACGTGTTTTGGAAATGTCGAGTCAAATTAGTCTAGAATCGGTTAATTTTATGGAATAAAACCTTTCAAACAGCCGTAGTCTCTAAACTGCAGACGTGTTGGGCTGTGATTGGCTCATGTATTTAACTTATCGTAAAACACGGAATTCATATAAAACGGAACGTATCTACCGTATTATGGAGGGTTTACTGTATCTGGTAATCTCATTGAGTTATTAAAAAAAGGCGACTTTTGGAACATCTAGTGCTGTGTATTAGACAAGTTATGAAACGAGAGAGCAATTTCTCGTTGCATTTAACTTAGGAACAACCGAGTTTACGACCGATATTATGAGTAGTTTTTAAAGATATTACTATGTTATGTCAGCACGTAGTTTTCTCATATTTTCGTAAAAATGGAGAAGGTAACTTTTGGCTTGATGCTTCTCATTTTTTTAAAAGTTTATATACAAGTACTTAGGAAAGTTTAACGGCTCAGATTACTCTCAGACAGTGGCGGCCTTAGGGGGTGGCGAGCAGGGCAATCGCCTGGGGCCTCGCTCTTGGAGGGGCCTCGCGCAACAACCAAGTAGAAAAAAGTTGATATTTAAAACTTTTTATTTTATCCTTGGCTATTAGTTATAACAATAACAATAAAATAAATTTAATTTATAGTACAGTTAATATTAATAAGTGCCTACTATTTCAATTCACATACTTTGCACAAAGGACAAGGGCCTCGCAAAGATCTGCCGCCCAGAGCCTCGTAACGGATAAGGCCGCCGCTGCTCTCAGATTACTCAATTGAATGTATCTGTTTCAAACTGATAAGTAATACACGAAGGAAGTTAGTGTTCAGTTTTAGGTACCAGGTTGAGAGATTGCGGTTAAAATATACGGAATGGTGTACTTTTCATTTACTATACTGTATGTGAATGAAAACTAATTAAGCAAGTAAACTACAGGCTTTTGTTGTAAAACATGTACGGTAAAAAACGTAGGAATACGCTTAGAAATTCAAATTTCGGCAGAATTTCGTTCTGGATCAGAAAATTTTATAAGGGTAACCGAGAAACCAATGAGAAAGTAATGAAAACGTGAATAAACCCGGGAAAATTGGAAAAAATATTAAATAAATAAAAGAAAAACAATATCTTTTAATGATATCCTATACTTGAGAGTACATACGCAATATTGAAAATTGCAAAAGAGTTAGTTTATTGTTTTAATTTACAACTTTAATTGTTCAGTTTTATATTTTAACTTTAAAAATTAAATAATTATATATATTTATTACAATAAAAGTACTAAATAATTGCATATTTTAACACGAGTTTGAAATACCGGCACAAAGTCGGCGGCGTGACCATATAATAAACATCGCTATTTTTGCTTCGCAAAAATTAAATTCGAAAAATTTTTTAAGTAAATATAAAATTTTAAATTTATCAGTCATAAAATTCGTTTTAAATTTATACAAAATTATGAATTTTTTTTTACTGTTTTTTTAACAGTAGTTTTTGCTTTGTTTTAAAGCGCGTCTGTGCAATTAATCACAATATTCGTTAAATTTTAATTGGTATTATTAATAAAATCGATTTTAAAAAAATTAAAACGAATTTATTCTCGTTTATTTTTTCGAAAATAGAAATTTTATTGAAAAATTGTCAACAAATTTCGGTTTCTGTTTCATTCGAGGGTGTGATTTCGTGCAGACTTCTCACTGAAAACGAGAGTCGGCCATCTTGTACGGATGCTTTGTAAATGTTTAGGCCTAACTGAAAATGTATATTTTATAAAATTCTCTTTACAATCAAAAGTAAGTCATTAATCGTTAATATTTAAGCTCGTGATTAATTATAAATGTTCCGTTTGATGATTATAACATAAATTTGGCTTAAATTCGATATAAAATACTTTAAAAACGAATGTTAAAGACTGAATTTATCTTATAGAAACCGGTCGAAGAAAAAAACTCCATTTTGTTAAAAAAATGACTAAATTTTTAATTATAACGAATCACAATCTTCGTAACAATGATTTAATACGATAATTTAACTGTTTTAGCTTGTTCTTTTTATAATTAAATTTATTGATAATGTATATGAAAATGAATGGACGGTTGCAGGTTTTCTTTCGTAAATTTTACGGTTTTTCTTAAGTAGTGACGTAGATTATTACGTAATATACGTCATTATTTAATTAACGTGTAATACTTACTCGTGTGTATTTTTTTTTACCGTAATCTGACAATATTATACGGTTTTTGGTATTATATTCTCCATTTGTATGTAGTTTATAAGAAGAATATTTATTATAAAATGTTATTTTTTATTCTGATGTATTAATTAACTTGAATTAGTTTAGGATTTTATTTTTATATCAAATTTAGAGCCCTTTGTTTCTATAAGAATATTTCGTGTGAAATTCAGACTTCTGTATAAAGAGTTGCGGCTAATGGCTCGATGCGTAAACAGTTGCGAGGCAGAACGTACCTAAATCTAAAAGATTTCCTCCATTTTATTATATTTTAACTTTATTCGAATCCAAAAATTATAACTATAACAATAATTTGTTTTAATATAATTGGCGTATTACGCATACGCAGTCAAATTTACTATTAATGTATCGGATTCGTACATGTGCAAGACGTGTTTTGGATGTTTAGTCCCTCTTCGGTTGGTGTTTTTTTTTTTAGCAATGCGTGGCGTATACATGAAAATAAACCCAAGAATCATGCTATACAGTATATATTATAATAGTATTAATGTTAGTACTATAGCTTTGAGTCATTTGGATATAAATGTGTAAAAATATTACTATCTAATATATGTCGAGTGTTCGTAAGTCTTTCAAAGTACAGTGGTGATCGGTTAACAAACATAATCCGTTCCAAGACTTTGTTCGCTATCCGAATTGTTTGTTAACCGATTATCGATTTACCATAGGTTTTAATGGGAATTTAATTAATTCATTCTGGAGACCCCCAAAAATAAAAATATACACTTTCTTACTACGTTTATTTATATGTAATAATAAAAATACATACATGCACAGTCTTGCATTTTTATTAGTAATGTTTTTTCCATTTGAAAGGGTTAAAGAATCTGTCTAATGTCGATTGCTTTTCTCTCTATCTTCAGGATTTTTCGTAAGTAATTAATAGCATTGCAATTGTCGAAATCCCCAAGCCTCAACCTGGTTTGGATGCCATTCTAAGACCGTTGTTCTGACATCCTCATACTTCTTCAAAGGATCTTTAATAACAGATATCAGCATTAATCCTCTTTTTCAGAAGAAAACATATCTCGTTGAGTTTCTTGGTGTTCTTCTGTCGTCAGATCTGTTTCAGGTTCCATTATGAACTCTTCGATGTTCTTTATTTCTCAGAAGTGATTTTTGTTACTCCTTTAGCTGCTTGAGTCTTCTTGATTATAGAGTATTTTTCTTAAGTAAGGTTGAACTGCGGCATACTGTAGACCTGTTCACGCCATACTGCTCAACAACATTAGGCATCTTCTGCCCACTCTCTACCTTTGCTATTATACTCTTACCTTTCGAAAAGAAAAACAGATGCAAAACCTAACGAGTGCCTACCCGACAGTCTTGCGAATACATAAAAGAATTGTTTTGCCAGAAAAATAAAAGGCTGGAATTACAAGGGAGAGTTTCAAAGTTCGGAGGAATACTATCAGATCAGTATATACTGGCTTGAGTGTCGATGTTGATGTCTATCACACACTGAAAAGTTTCAAATTGTTGCCCGAAGACAAGGGAAGACCAATCGGTATTCATTATTTTACGTCGCTTCTTTTTGTGTTTGTTCTGTGGGTTGTACGTTATCCAATCATGTGTTTGTTGTCCGAACATAAATCTTTTGCGAAAGTGTTCGTTAACTGATCACCCACTGTATTACAGTTGTATCATATATACAGAGGAGTCTCCTACGACTGTTGTTCTTGATCCATGGTTCGCAGAATGCAGGCGATCCTTGAAGCTGTTTCGAGTGTTCCATGAAAAAATCAAATACGCAATTAAAAATTGTTGCAAAAGAAAAATCAATACATTGTAAAATAACTTTTGTATGGGAATGTAATCGGCAAATTCCAATGATGTCGTATACTAGAACGAGTGCACTCTTGATTTCAAAAAGGTTTGCCACACCTGCTTTAAAGCTGATGTATTTTAAGTGTTCTGCAGAAAAAAAAATTTCAAAGTTTAGTGTTCCCCAACTTCAAAAAGATTGAGAACTACGGTCCTCCAACATGGGGATATGTTCCACATTATAGGAAATTGTGTTATTGAGTCATGAATTATCAGACAATTTTACACAAGTTTAAACGTAGGCCTAAAAGTTGAAGAAGAAAATGTATACCTCTGGAAAAAGAAACAAAACTGTATCCAGAGGTATATATTTCCAGAAGTACACAAAATTGTATTCGTATAATTTTTTCATTCAATTATACAAATTTTCATTATATGGGAGTTTGCTGTATATATAGGTAGTTCCTATGCTCTGCACTTTTTAAAATACTTTGAACTAAATTTTACATAAAATAGCAAAATTGTTTTGCTGAGTGTTGCATGTGATGTACTGATGACATAGATTAATCAATCATTGATAGTTGAATACATATGTTGTTGGCAGAGAATGTTATGTGAATAAAATTACTATACAGTAGAGCGTCGATTATCCGAAAGTCAATCGTCTGAAACGTCAATTATCTGAAAGAATTCCAGTCAGTGAATTTAAATTTTCGCCAGTGCTGTCGCGCTTCAATCTTTGGCTATGTCTTGGGCTACTCAAATATTTTACGTTTTTGATACTAAATTAACATCTGAAGTATAATTTTTTATTGTTTTTATATTTTTCAATATATTTATTTTGTTTTTACAAAATAAAAAAATAATTTTTAACAATACAATAGTCTTCGTTAGGCTTAACATTGACGAAAATTCAACGTGAAGCGACACACAACGGAGAAAAATTTCAACATTGGATACGTTAAACTATTTTTTCAACATAATCGGTTATCTGAAATATCAGTTATCCGAAAAATCCCAGTCCCCAATTGATTCGGATAATCGACGCTCTACTGTAGTTACATTCTGTTTCTAAATCTGATTTGTCAAATGTAAGTGAAACTTTCATTCATTCAAATGTTGTCTAATAATGTTTTTGACAAACAGTTCTTATAACTTAATAGTTACAGTAGAGCATTGATTATCCAAATCAATTGGGGACAGGTTGTTCAAAAAATCAATTTTTTGGATAAGTGATTACGTATAAAAAAATATAGTAACCTATCCCATGTTGAAATTCGTTCAAATCCTGGCACATCCTTAAGTACCCTCTCATGGTCGCGCCAGTGCTGCTAGCTAAAACACGCACACCAACAAAAATAATATTGGAGTAGCCCAAGACAGCCAAAGATTGCAGCGCCACAGCACTAGCGGAAATTTAAATCTGCCGACTGGAGAGCTTTCGGTTAATCGATATTCGAATAATCGATGCTCTACTGTACTTGTTTCTGATTAACTAGTTTTAAGTAATTTGTGTTTCCAAGATTACTTAAAACTAGTTAATCAGTTTGCATAGTACAATCTCCAGAATTAGTTTGTCAAATAATCAAAGAATTGAATCTAGAATTTAAAATAAAAATCTAAACATTTAATTTTTACTTTCTAAATTTAAGCATTTAGTAAAAATATTCTGTTGAGCATTGCAATAGTATTTTCATTCAGTTTGACAGATTCAGACTTTCGATTCAGACTTTTGATTGTCATGCTATTTGCTAATGATATGGAATAAATAAATACTGTATGTAGGTGAAACTCAAGTAAATTTTACAAGGCGCTGCTTCATCTTCCTTCAAGGAATGTAATATTAAATTTTTAATTTATATTTTTTAAATTAAAATAATAGTGCATGTATTTAAGGGCAGATTAAGATTTTACCTAAATTTATTTTACACTGACATCAGAAATGATACAGAAAACGATGAAAATATTTTTTATTTTGTATTACTAACTTCTCTGACATAAATTTACTCAAATGCAGTGTTTATCAATGGGGTCACCCCCATTGATAAACACTGCATTTGATATCACATCCATGTGGGCGTTTTTCCATGTTCAGGGGGCGATTAGCAACAATTTATATTTTGGGGGAGAAAAACAATTTTCTGGGTGATATAGTAAAACATTATATTAAGAATAATTAGATATTTTATTCGTTATATCGTACAATAATTAAATAACATTATACTAGTCACTAGTCTATTCAATGCAGTACAAATTTGGTGTTAGCCTTGTCCCTCGGCATCAGAATTTTGAAGTGAAGGGGGCGATACTACGTAACAGTTTTATTGAAAGGGGCGATGATTCGTTAGAGGTTGAGGAACACTGCTCTGATGGAAGTGGCTTATGAGTGGATGATGTTATTAGCTTAGTTTAATTCTTGATCACAAGAGGGCTTTTGTTAATACTGCTTTCTTAGCCGTGTAGTCTATAGGAATTTCATTGTCATATATAATTATTCCATGGATTTTGAAAGATTATTTTATTAAGTAGATAAAATAATTTAGGACTTTTTTGTGACAAGTAGTTTTATTGCATTTATCTATTATATTATTTTGGAAAGTTTTCACTTAGTTACGAAGTGAAAGTTGTCATCAGATCATCAAGCAACTCACCTTACACTAGAGTTTGTAAAAAGAAACCAGCTGCTTACTAATACCAGACTTTCTAGAGTTATTAAGTATTGAAATTACAATTAAATTTGCAAAAAACTCATCAGAGTAAGTCTTAATTATCTGA